TATAACTCTGTTTATATTCCGAGATTCTCAAGGAAAAAAAACACCAAAAAACCCCCAACCAATCAGTAAAAAAATTAACAACTATCAAGTCAGCCTCATGCCATTAGAAATTCAGGCTTTAAAATCCTCAAAGCTTGCACTCCTCACCACTCAGAAAGTGGAAGCAGTTTCCTTGAACTTTACTAATACGAATCCAAGCAGACAATCATGTAGACTATACAGGAAGAATTTCAAAGCTTTACCCCAGTGGACTAAACTTGTAGAGTAACTAAGATCTATTTGAAAAGGAGTGAGACAATTACTTTGGGATTCTCTCGTGGGTAAGTGCACTTCTCTCTAATCTTGGGAAGAAACTCTTAAAAGTTACAACTGAATGAGCTCCAACTAAAACAGAGGCAGTAATGTTCACAATACTGCAAGCAGTTTCTGGGCATGATTCCACTGACATTCAGTGGGTCATACCCTCTTCATTCTCCCAAGCACTCCTAATTTTCACACTCAAGACTTCATACTCAACCCAGTTGCATAGCAGAGGCAAAAAAAAAATATTGCTGTAATGTGTGATAGCTAGAGGACAGACACAAGCGGGCAGGAATAGAAATGCTGCCTAGTATATACATTAGAAAACAGTAAATTGCATATTCTCAGTGAGATCTTCCTTGCAAAAAGGAAAAATTATGGGAGAAAATTTACCTGAACGTGCTCAGTGGTGGGAAGAAAAAAAAGGTCAGCTTTTATTTATGTCCTAAGGAGGCGAATATGTTGTGTCCACAACTCTAAATAAAGTATATACATGCAATTCACTGATACTTATTAGTATATTTCATTTATTAATACAGTTGTGATTTATGGGCTTTCCACACATTCCATTAATAGGAGATAACAGATGGTAAATAGTTATTTTTAAATCCTGTATTTATGTCCACAACTTTTGCTACCAAACACCAGTTTTCAGAGCTAGGAATCTAATTGTCCTGAGAAAACCAGAAGCTACTGAAGTACTTTGACGATATTGCAGTCTCCCAGAAACATTCACTGTTGCACTGAGAATCAGTGTAGTAGCCTGTGGTAATCTGCTAGGACGTTAACTTGTCTTATCTTCTAAAAAAATTATCTCTACTCCCTCACTGCTTGAGTGGACAAGAATTTCAGCAAAGCCATATCATCAGTTTGTAGAATCCTGGGGACAGAAAATATTATTTCTGCTTTCCTTTTTGTTTTCCATGGCCTGTAACCTTACTCACAATACACTGATTTAAGAAGCCAGCTGTAACTACGCCGTAGAGAATGACAATATTTTCAGATCTAAGTTTTCTCCTATGCCATGGATAAGTGACAAAAAAACCTAAAAACATGAACATTTTCAATTTCTTTAATCTGTCCATCTACAAAATTCAGCAGCTGACCTGCTGGCTTATCAATCAGCTCCACACAGATGCTGAAGCAGCTCAAAGCCAAGAAGACCATGAAGCTTGCTTTTTTTGTGATGGGGCCTCTCTGTGGAAACATGGCAAAACAAAAACAGAAGACAAGATAGATGACAGATCTAATTAACTTAGAAGGAAGTTTCATGGAAGACGAAGAACTCTGACTGTGCCAGTTACTACATCATACAGTAGCAGGCCAACACAGTAAGCATAAGGCAAAGATGGGAGAGAAGAAAACAAGGCTTATTCATAACACAATTTTACATTCTTGGGATATATTTGACATTAACAAAACCATTACAGACAGTAATGGGTTACCATAAGGCCTCCTGTAACAAATATTTTCCTCGTGAATGTATGTATGTAGAGGTCCTTAATATATCTGTCAGTCAAGATCAAAACTGATTCTTATAATTCTTCTCCTAAATCTCTCTCATTCCTTGCCCTTGCAACAAAGTCCTCCCTGGCATGAACACATCTATGGGGATAAAAAAATGGGTGGGAGAAAAAAAAAAGTGGATGAAGAGGTTGAAGAAAATAGAAAATAATTTTACAACCTTTATCCTCTTCATATTAACTTACTGTCCCCCACAAAAACCCCTGCAGGTAAGGGTAAGAACTAACCTCAGGAAACTGTGATTTTCCAATTAATGCAACTTTGATTTAACAGTTTTGCTACTTGTATTATAGAACCCAGCAGAGAATTGTTCAAATCAAGACTGTGTAGTGCTGTGCAGTGTTAATATTTTTTAAAGACAGTCAGCTTAAGAATCCAAAACCACACTACTTCCCCTTTATCAACATGAAGTAGACTTCACTGAAGTTAACAAGTTACCTTCAATCAACCGCAGAGAACACCAGTGACCGAGAGGCAGGTAGAAAATAAAATTTAAAAAATCCAATGTTTTAAAAGTAAACGTAAGCTCACATTCACATTCTTCACTGAAAAGGGTTAATCAGAAGAAAAATTGTGTGTTTGGCTGTCTTCTAGTTCAGAGATGTAGCTTTCCGGAGATTGGTGGTATTAGTTATCAGAAAAAAATTACTAGACACAGTCCTGGGTGAAAATGAACAGCCTATTATTTATACGAGATCAGAGAAAATGATTCAAAGACATTTTTTGGCCTGAAAGTCTATTAATCTACAGATAGTGTAGCCCCATTCTGTGTGGGGTGTGAGTGCCCACTGCTGGCAGTGGGGGCTTCACAGAGGTCTCTGGGAGAAGAGGTTGCAGCTGCCCTGTGCCAGGGACAACCGTCTCCAGTCCACCCACCACGGAGCACAGCTGAGGCCATGGTCTGCAAGTGATTTGTGCATGTCTCTGGTCTAATCATACACACTTGAGGCCCTCAGCCATGCTGGTGGCACCTCAAGGAAAGCGTATTTAAGAAACAGCAGAAAACACCAGAGAAAGAGGAGAAGGGAATACCAAGGTCAAAGGAGGACGAATAACTTCATGGCAGGGCAGATAATCCACTTGGAGATCCCATGCAGAGAAAAGATGTGAGAAGAAAAACGCAGCAGAGAAAACCTTCTAGGCTAACCATGGACTCAACACCTTCCCACCCTCCCACACCATTTGTTGCCTCTCTGAATGTGACCTATAGTCACAAGAAAGCAGGGTATAAGACAGGAATGAGGGAGACAAGTTGAGTCTGTGAAAGGTGGGGAGGAAAGCTCTGATTTGGATGTTTGTCTTTTTTGTTTCCTACTACCAATCAAATTAGTATTTAATTATTTAATTGAAATGGCAATATTTTTTTTTTTCCCCAAGCAAAACCTGTTTGGCCCACAACAGTAGTTTGTAAGGGCTCTGCAACTGATCCCCATCATGACCCACAAGCTTTCTTACTCCTATTCTTCCTGTTATCTGCCTCCATCCTACTGAGGTAGAAGACACGAGAGATGGATGGGTGGGAGTTTGGCTGGTAATCAAGAATAACCACATTCTCAAAAAATAAAGTGGAACTACTGAGTGTGAAGAAGGAAGAGGAAAAGAAGTTCAATGCACATCTGTAAGACTTCCCATTGGTTTTTAAATACAATGACTACACCAGAGACACACACACAACACTTGCAGATCCAAGCTGTTACTGCTATGCAGTTTACCCTGGTCATTGAATTACCTGCTATACTGTTATCACTGCCACTGCTATAGCACAAAATAATAATAATCATGATCCATCACAATAGACTGGATAACAAGAATTTATGGTGCACCTTATCATCTGAAGTTTGCTCTTGTACTTTCAGTCAATGCTCACTAGATCACTGATATCAATTTCTGTTAGAAAATGAACATTTTACATTGGTAACTTTTTATACACTGGCATCATTTGTGCTGAGAGGTTCGATGTTTTTGAGGGGAGAATGTGCTGTTTTGAACTTCTGTGTGAAAATATGAGCAACTATACAGCAAGTAATCCTTATTTTTCAACTGCAAGGTTGCTTTTGATTTAGACCAATTTGATTTAGACTAACATCAGAGATGCCATATATCAAATGGGTTTGAGAATAAAGACAAACAGAATGTTTTCAGGAGTCAGGAGTGTAAAAAAGGAGTAGTAAGATACATTACAGCATCTACGGTACCAGAACTAATCACAGGGATAAATGGTTCGTTGGTTTTAATCACCAGTCCTTCAAACTTTGTGATAAAGTTAAATTACGGAACATGAAACCACTTTAAATTGCACAGAAATAACTCAAATTATGTTTCCAATGAACAAATTTAAGAAGGCTGCCATGGAGATGTATAAGGAAATGTGTGGAAAGAAAAAGTAACTCTCACCAAAAGCAGCTATACTGTAATTTTGTAAATTATATAGAACAGTAAATTATTCTCATCTTATATCAACTGATAGTTCTACAAAAGCAGATTACTACATTTTCCAAGAACAGTCCCTATGTAACTAAGACTTCATAATGCTGCAGTTTATATCAGAAACATAATTCTAGGACTTATTTACACAGATAATTTCCTATTTTGTGGCTATGGGGGATTGAAGAAAAATTATTCCCTTCTTTTTGGTCTCTGATATATAGACCAATATCTCAACAAATGCCATGCAGACACAATTTCTGGGATAGCAGTGGTTCAGTTTCTTAGCAATAATTCATTTAATGTTCAAATCTTTAAGATTCTCTAAAGACTGTCTTTCTAAAGATGATTTCTTTTATTTTGAATGAGATACACCACCAAATATACTTACTGCTATTTGTAGAATAAAACTCTGAATAAAGACATACATACATTTGAATGTGCACCTTTGGACTTCTAATCTGACAATATTTAAGGTCCGTACGTTATTAAGAAAAAAAAAAAGCAGAACTGATCACTAGTGTTTTGAATAAAAAAATGGAAAAGCCAGTAGAGATGTTTCTACTTCTTCCATTAAAACGTAAGTAACTTACGAAGCAGGGTAGTGACACTTTGAGATTAATCACTGAAATAAAAGCAAGCAGGATGTGATTTGGAAAATTCTGAAGTCTAACCAAATAATCAGGATATGAACCATGTACAGGCAAGTCCTTTTTCTCTCCTTTTGACCATTCCTAGAAGTATTTTCTGACCTGTTTTTGAATGCAAGCTCCTTCTTGGTTCCTCAGGTCCCTCAATTGGTTGGTCAGCAAGGAAAACTCGTGCCTGATCCACAGCATTGTGAATGGCTTGCTCTTTATCCTTCAGTTCACGCCTCAGTGCCTTTCGGGAAGGAAGAGAAGAACGCATTTGTAATTTGACATTGTGAACAATTCTGTTCTCACCTCTCTGACCAGACCTGTCTAGTGAATGAGTAATAACCAATGTGTTATTCAGACTGCAAGATAAAATGCAAATTTTACAAAACAAAAATGGCAAGAAATTAAGGATGGAAGGGCAATTTTTATGAAAATGACTTGATGAAATGAACACCAGAAAGGTGATGATAGTAGGTTTTTAAAAAAGAAAAAACAAACAACAAAAATAACAGAAACTGAAAATACTACATTAAACTTTTTAAAAAACCTAATTTTAATGGGTTTATTTCTTTTAACAGACTAGCTAATATACAGTAGACTACAACACACTTTATTTTTTTGTTATCTGGAATAACAGCAAATTGCATCTACTGAAATTTCAGAAAACAATTTTATAAAACACTACAAAAAAAAAATTTGCACTCCTGAAAATGGAACCTTTTATTTCTGTCTCCTATTTATATTTTTAAAATTTAGAAAAAAATCTAACCAAAGATTTTATTATGATAATACATTCTGATAAAACACCTTTCAAATCAGATAAAAATATTTTGATGCTTATTATGCAGAAACAATTGAGACTTCTGTATACAGAAAGAAAATTATCAATTTTTCTTTAAGATTTTTTTAAGTTGATGGAAATGAATTTCAGGATATTTTGCTCTACATACAGCATTTATGACTTCTTTAAAGGTTTAGGTGTAACAAACCTTTTTTTAAAAAAATAGTTCATAAGGAGTCAGCTGTACTGTTTCTTATAAAGCATTTTCTTCCATTCAATATTTTAAGTATAAATCCATACCACTTAAAAGGGATCTGCTTTTGTGGTTCTATTTGTATTACTTTCTTCCCATAGAAACACAAAAGAGGATATTTTAAACATTATTAAATGTTTTAAATTAATTTTTCCAATATATTTTGAGCTCTAATTACAACATCAAAGCTTATTTTGCTGACACAGTTTGCTCAGGCCCCATTCCAGCTAGAGAAATGCATTTAGTAAGTGCTGACAACATTATTTAAGACAATGAGTGTTTCTACTACAGGAAATTGTGAAAAACAGCTGCCATAAAAGTCTCACAACTGCTATCTTATACTTTTCATTATTAAGTCTCTTGATGTCATAATCATAAAAAACACCTACCTCTTGACTTTAACTTAGCAGAAGGCAAGATGTTATTTTCCCCCTTTTCTCCCCCACTTTATTACTTCATCTTCCTCATCTTCCCAAATACTTTGATTCTTTTAGTCCAAATAAAATACATAACCCCAACAAAAACTAATCACTGAAAACACACTAACCTCCATTACATTTAGGAATAGTTATACAGTCCAACCTTTAGTAACCATTAACTATTGTATTTACACAAAAAAACTCTTCAAAGCACTTATCTCTAAATGCTTTTGCATAGCAATAATATTCTTTGCAGGATTCAGTACATGCTACATGTAATAAGAAAAAAATTGACGTTTAAAAACCAAGTCCTACATATTTAAAACAAAAAATACAGAACCTGAAGTATTGTAAAAACAATATTCCTGAAGAATCACTTCAAATCATCACAAAATGTATCGATATTTTAATTTCACATTACAAACCACAGAATAAGATGTTTCAAAGTCATCCGTATTTTTAAAATCATTAAATATTCTCTATGCAGGAATTTGTTTCAGAAGAAGAAAGATAGTAAGCGAACTTGTGTGGATGCATCAGTAAAACACAATCTTAACTTAGAATTTCTATCAGAAGCAGAGGGATGATTACTTCACTGCGATGTAAGAAATTTTTCTAATTTATTTTTCTCCCCTCCATGCAATTTTCCAAATATTTCCAAAGGAAACAAGAAAAAGGAGACTAGGTCAGATTTGGAGCCGACTAAGAAATTTTATGTAGTTAGAAACAATCTAGAGATGGATCTCTTTTGCTGTCTCTTCTGTTTACCTTCACATAGCGTCTTTCATCAATTTCTCCAGATGACCCTCAATAAAACTTCAATCAAGTCTGACCTGAGAGACCTTGGATTTAATTCTCCACTATCTTTGCCACTGAAGTTGCTCAAATTGAGGTTGACAACATGAAGATTTTAAGACTTTGGCCCATGTAGCTCATCAACTATAAGTCATCCATGGCAAACCTTATTAATATTCTTGAAAGAACTCTCTTAGCATGAAAGAAACCATGCACTGAGATGTTAATGCTAAACCAAACATATCAATAATATTCTCACTCCTTCCTCTGCGTAACAGAACAAAAAAAGGCAACTCACTCATAAATCTAATTTTGAGCTCAAATATCATCTGTCTTGAATGGACAAAATAAAGATTTCATTGGAAAAATCACATCCACAAGAACACTACAGAGTAAAAGTAAGTCATAAGAAGCCCAGCACAGAACAAAAAACCTGCTATACTGAATTGGATTATTGTGTTAGAGGTTTTTATATAATAAGAAGTGCAACCATGCATTTTGGTGTTTTATTTAGTTTTGCAAAAGACACCTCCCCAGTGGCTACTCAGAATGTATGACTTTCAGTAGAGAAGGATATTACTTCATTCCCCCTTTGACATTAAGAACTAAAATAGTTTAAGCATTTGTACACCTCTGAGTGTAGCACAGGTTTTGGTATAGGGAGAATTCCTCCTCTGTAGCTAGCTCTACTTTTCAGGAAGAAAATGAGGAGAAAGTTGGCACTAGAGTTTTGGTATAGATTAAATAAATATGGCAAAAGACTCAAGAGGCATCTCCAAACTTAACACTGAAACAGTCCACTAATAAGGTAAACACATGGTTGCAACTATTTTTTGAGTCCTGTTGGGCATGTAGATGTGAAGACAAAATAAAAAAGTGAACATGAGCAGAGAGATAACACTTATTTTCCCTACATTATGCTTTTTATTATTTATAAAATACAATAATTTTTTAAAGCCATATTGGTCATATAGAAAAAGTCTGTATGCAACTTTGGCCATAATTCATACCACCTTATTTCATACAACAATTCTAAATTTTAAAATTACGGTATATTACTTTAGGTAATGGATTAAAATAAAAACTTCACACCTCTCAGTAATCTGACAGTTGACAGATAAATAAATCCAATGTCTATCCAACACAGTTTTCCTGCATTGGAAAACTGAGTGGTATTTCCTACATAAACCAAGACATGGACTTTTAAAGAGTCCTGAAGAAACCATTTAGACAGTTTTGATTCTTACAGAAGAAGGAAAAAAACCCCTGGAAACCTAAAATCCAGTGTGCTGACGTCAGCACAAACTGTTTCTAGAGCTTATCTTAAGCAATATTAGCCAAGAATAATTTTAAAAATCCTCCTTTGAAAGCTGAAGAATTCTTCCACTGGTAGATGGACAAGGGTTCATAAAACTACACTCCTGAATGTCTTACACAACATCACATGAAGTAACAACTGTGATCTGCATTGCAGCATCCATTTTGCAGGTATGAGGGACATTTTTCAAGTTAGTCAACTATGGCAGAGTAACCCAGGACCCTACTAAAACATTCCTCCTCTCAGGGAAGGGAACAAAAGCTTTGCCTCCATGATTTACAACTGTCAGCTAATTATTTACTCTCCATTTTGATTTGTTCCTCTTTTAGTAACATTGTAACTGTGGAAATATATACCATTTGTTCTATTATACCAAGATAATTGAACCCATTTGCCCTTTCTTCATTAGAGATGCTTATGATTTCTAATATAAAACCCAACTCTTCTCACAAGCTAAGATTTCTAAAGGAATTTGCCTAAACCAAGCATTAAAAAATTCCTGTTGGGAATGTTTTGCAGTTGAAGTCTTTTCCACTCCTGAAAAATCAGGAAGCTACAAAACCTTTGCTATTCGTGATTTTTTACACTGTTTAGTGTATCCTGTAAACACCTATTTCCTTCAGCTGCACCTAAAGTTATTTCTTTCTCTGGGCATACTAAGCGGACTGCTAATTTACAGCCTCTTTTTCTCCTTTGAATTGTACAGACGTGCAGAATAATTCAAGGAGCAGATCAGCTTAATAGTTCCAACAGATGAAGGCAAAGCTAATTTCAAAGAAAACACATGGGATGTTTCTTAAAATCAGAACATATTTCAATCAAGTCTCATTATATACTCTTTCAAGGAAGTAAAGATGCACGTTATTGTTACTCATATCAGTTTAGCTCACTGTAGCTTTATGTGCCAATCAGCAGCTCCTGTAGCATTTAATTACTTATTCATCTTTATTCTGCACCCAGTGCTTGAAAAACTCCTGTTACTTTCATATACTAAAATGAAATGAAAAAAAAAAAATCTGTGACATATGATAGGACGGGGAGAATAAGTAGGATGATTGAGAAAACTCAAAGAATGAAATGAGGAATTGTTTATAAAGATCACACAGACACAAAGGTTGTGACTGAGTATCAGCCAGCTGTCTGCATCACTAAAGAACGAAGCAGAAACAAAATAAGCATAGCATGTTTAAAAGCGGTTCCTTCACATCAGACACTTTTTAGTATAACATGTACACATAAAACTTCAAAAGTGCTTTGGTCTCTGGACACATCTCTGCATAAAAAGCAGTTTTATAATGTTTCTATCCCAGCTGATAGAGAAAACATTCAAATAAAGGGTAATATTTCAATTCAGATGGTACAGGTCACCATGCATTTACCTTTTACTATTCCATACTTGATCTATTTGGTAAGAGAAACAATGGAGAAAAACATATAACCATTAATATCTGGAGATATAAAGACACATGCAGCACATGGGACTTCAAAGCTGAGACCAAATTCTACATGTTCTGACAAATCAGAGAAAAATAATGATCAGAATAGGGAAAGAAAGGCAAATATGGGTGAGAAGAGGAAGCTGTTTGCCTCCATAATAAATATTTATTGACTATTTCAGATTTTTTTTTTAATAGAAAAATCTATACAGCCATCTCAAAAAGGACCAAAGAGAAGTGAG